CGCTCCGCACTCGGGGAGCATTTTCATCCGCATGATAAACATTTTTCCATGTTTCGAAATCATCTTGGGGGATGATTATTTGTATAGGTGACAGTATTTATTCCACCGTGCTACTCCTGGGCTGACACTAGGGAGAGAGAGAGGAGGAGTCTGTCCTTGAATGGGATCATTTAGCCACAAGACCCAGGCCCAGAGTGGGCTCTGCCCAGGGCATCGAGATCACCTTGGCCAAAGGGGCCTCACCTGGGTGCATGGGCCTGGAGGAGGGCAGGGGCTCCACCCCAACCTCGCCCATGCCCAGCCGCCCGAACTCGGCTGCCCTCCAGCCCAGAGGGACCAGGTTCCAGCAAGGCCCTCAGCCTCCTGGTGACCTTCACTCCCAACAACTGCGCTTCCTCTCTGTGAAGCACCCTGGCAGCCAAAGGCCCCTGACATCGGCCGCTCTCCATTTTTATATCTGAATATCTCAAAGCACTTAGCCCAGACTTTCATTTTCTCATTACCCCAGGGAGAGGAGGTCATTCGGGGAAATGGTACAAATATTCCCATTTGTCAAAAGCCAGAAGGAAGCAAGTTAGAAGGAAGACTACCGCTGAACTGAGCGGGGCCAGCCCCCCAGAGCGCTCGGGGTCCTGCCTGCCTGTCCGTTCACCCAGGGCTTCTCCGACACACCTCAGGCGCCGTGACCCGCGGGATGGCTCAGGGCCAAGCCCCGGTTTCCACGCCCGAGRATCCATCACTGCCGGGCGGGCGGCCTCGGCGCAGGAGACCCTCCCACCCCATCCAGGGTCTCCACCCAACTGCACTCTCCCGCGGTGGTAATTTATGTAAAATACATGTTATATAAATATACCCAGTCACCAGGCGGGGCGGGGGGACGAGAAGGAAATACACTAAATACTAAACCAGGTTGTATCTCCAGAGCGACGTTACAGGTGAGTATTTCTCCCTTTATCAGTTTTCAAATAAACGCTGAAAAGATGGTCCCACGATTCCAAGGGCAGGAGGAAAGCACGCGTCTCGGGCGTTCAAACCTGGCCCTCGTGCCCTGAGCTGGGGAGCAGGCCAGCGACTGCCCCTCTCGGGGCTTATTCCTGCCAGGTCCCAGGCGGCAGAAGCACTTCCTGCCTGTGTTCTGCCCTCCGGTCACAACACAGGACTCGCCACACAGTCAGCACTCGGGACCTGTCTGTTTCCTTCTTTTAGTAAAATGACTATGTACAAGGGCCTCAGCTCGCTGGCTGCCCCTTGGGGACAAAGGCAAGACCTTTCACCCGCACCCTCGACTCACCTTTGCCTCTCCTCCCCCCAGCCAAGCCCAGAGCACAGACCCTGTGACTCACCTGGAAGGCGAGGAGGGGGCTCAGGGGCCAGAGAACAAGCCTCTTCTCTGCCAGGCCAGGCCCAGGCCAGCCCCCGGGCAGCACTCGGACCTCGTGCAAGCACTCGGAGGACACGCCAGGCGGGTGATTCCTGGGTTTGCGCCTTCCTGGCAGCCGCCCTCCAGGAACAGGTGCCGGGCTGCAAAGGCCACCTGCTGATGGGGGAGGGCAAGGGCCACGCTCCCGTCCTCAGAGGAGAGGCCAAGGAGAACCAAGATGGCGGCACTGTCCAGGAGTGGCTCTCGCCCTGGGCCAGGCAGTCAGGGCCAGTCCAGGGGCTGCCACCGAGTGTCCAAGGTGCCCACCCAGGCCTGGGTATCACAAGCCCTTTCCCTGCTTCCTGGAGGGGCAGGTGCCTTGCTGGTTTGGTAAGYGTGCTTTGGCAGACAGTTGGTGGCCACAGCCTATGGACTGGGACTCTAGCCTGGCTTTGGGGGTCCTGGAGCCCAAGCCCAGSGACAGGCCTGAGCCTTCCACCTTGCCACCTCCCTGGTAACAGATGGGGAGGATGGAATCCGGGCAGTGATAGCAACAACAAGAGTCAMCCCTTGTTACCACATGCCAGGCCCGTCCCAAGGCCCCTGCCAGCTTTACCTCACTGAATCCTCACAACCACCCCGCACGACAGGCACTACCATCCATCCTCTTTTACAAATAAGGAAACTGAGGCTCACAAAAGTCYGTGCTATATCCAAAGTCATACTCCTAAGAACTGAAGGGCTGGGGATTTGAACCTATGGACTTAACCACTATTCTCCCAGCCAGGCTCCTATACAAGCAGACACCTCTAGGCCTTTACAGAAAGGGGCCCCTAAGGTGGCACTGCCAGCCACGACAGACACCCCCAAGGAGCAGGCTATATGATTCTGCCGAAATGAGAGCTTCTTGCCTCTTGGCCCCAAGAATAGGAAAGAGCTCACCCCTGCCCCACCAGGACACGATGGTCAAGCTGCAGAGATGCCATCGTATAAATATGGGGTATGGCTGGGGGCATTGAAGAACAAGGGTGACAGTGTCTCTCTCCAAGGGATTCTTGGGAGTGTTTAAATGGGGGAGGCCTACATATGCGGGGTCCTGGCAAGTGCGTGATAGGAGTTATCTATGGGTGTGGACGGGGCGAAAGAAGAATTATGGGGGGAGGGGCAGGGCCCCTGGCATATTCAAGCCCTCAAAATTGCCAGCCTTCTTTGCAAGCCAGGGATGATGCCAGCTCAGAACGGTGCACCTTTTCTTTCAAAATTAAACTAGGTCTCCAAGGAGCTGGACATGGTGGCACCCACCTGTAATCCCTGTGACTCAGGAGACTGAGGCAGGAGGATTGCAAGTTTGAGATCAGCCTCAGCAACTTAGTGAGACCTTGTCTATATAAAAGAAAAAAAGAAAGAAAGAAAAGGAAAAAAAGGCTGGGGTGTAGCTCAGTGGTAGAGCACCCTGTGTCCATTACCCAGTATATAAAAAAAAAAAGTCTCTAATGGAGGCTGGACACAGGGAGGGCACTAGACAAGGACCCCACAACATGGGCTACCAGCTCCCCAATTAGCCAGGCAGGAGGTCCTGGACCCGGCAGCAGGTCCCCTGAAAGCCCGTGGAGCCCAGGAGGGTGGGGGCCCTGGGTCACCGGGGCAGACCGTCTCCAATCCTGCTGAGCACAGCACATCGCTCCATTCAGGAGCCCAGAGTGAAATGTACAGCTGGGTCTGGAGTTGATTCAGCCCTTAACTCGTTCGGGATCGCTGGCGGAGCCACCGAGGCGGCAAGGGGCTGGGAGGTGGCAACCTGGGGGAGGGGGCTCGGCCATCCAGGGGAGGGGGACAGGTCGGGACATCACCCCAGCTGCTAATGTTGATGCATACAAAAAAGAAACTGTGATTCTTTTCTAAACACCAGTACGGGCGCTGGGAGTTCGGGGAGGGCCGGCGAGTCTGGCTTTGGTCAGGAGTGGAGCTGGGGGAGCGTGTTTTCTACCCACTGCCAAATTCTCATTTACTGTCAGCTTCAATCCATTCGGAACTCACTGACTCCATTACCTTTTCACGGGGGAAGGAGTCTGCACAATGCAGGGGAGCTCCGCATTAGCACACAGGGCACTGGGCAATGTCCGGGAACAACACACACGTCCCTCTGGGGCCAGTGACCCCCACCCCCACTCAAAGCACCCTGGCCAGCCTGCCAGGGCCACATCTGTACTCCCCTATTTCAATACTTTGGATTTTTTTTTTTAACGTGGCTTGGCCAGTGGAGCCGGGTGTGTGCGCGCAAGCACGTGAGGCAGCGTGTGTGTGTGTGTGTGTGTGTGTGTGTGTGTGTGTGTGTGTTTTGGAAACCGTGGATAATGAAGAAAATCAGCATTTGGTGGTGGGCAGTGGGGGGGGGGAGTGTCCCTCACACCTGGGCAGTCACAGAAGCTCTTCCATAATCTTTATGAAAATAATATCGACAATTGTGACGACGGTGGTCCTGATGGCGGGACGGTGGTCCAAGTCTACTGAGCGCTTACTATGTGAGCTCAGTTAGTGACCCCGGAACCCCAGGGGGCAGGCTCTGCCTCCTATCAGCCCAATCCAGAGGCTCAGAGAGACAAGACCCTTGCCCAAGGTCACCAAGGCCCTAAGTGGAGAAATGTCTAAAGCCCCATCGAACTCCAGACTGGCCGTGTTGTGTGGCCCTGTCCCCAGAGAGGATACCTGAGCAGGGACTGAAAGACAAGGTGGTCCCACCCCACGGGGGCCTTGGCTCCAGATATGGCGCCCTCAGGGACATCCGTGGATGTCCCTGTAGCCCAGCCCCTCACTCCATGTTCATCATGGTCCCTGGGGGGCTCACCCACCTGGCCAAAACCAAGAGAACCGGCTGCAATGCTGGCAATGTTCTGTCCCCGTGTGCCCAACACAGTGGCACCAGGAGCCACATGCGGCCGGGGAAGAGCCGAACCTATTTTTTAATTCAAGTTAAATTGCCACGTGGATTAGCGGCTACTGGATGGGCCGCTACAGACCCCAAACCCACCAGCTCGTCCCTCCTGGCCCAAGAGAAATTTTGAAAATACAGTGAGAGCTGGAAGCCAAGGCTCGGCCCACCAGCAAGGCCCCGCCCGTCCCCAACACGATGGCCTGCCTCCCTCCCCTCCCTTCCTTCCCGCCTTCCTTCCTTCTTTTCCTCCTTCCTTCCCTCTCTCTTTTCTTTCTTAGCAAAAAGCATCAATTTAATTAGATAAATCCTCCAAGCACGTGGCCGGGAGTTCGTCATGGAAATTAACCTGCCCCCAGATCTCAGATAGTGAAATAAGAACCGGGATGTTTTGGCACAGCGCAGTGAAATGGGAGAGGCCGATGGAGTTTCATACACCTCATCTTCCATAAGTGCCCCTGGCCCCTCTGGTGCCCCCCGCCCCACAGCCCCATGCCCTTGCCTCCTTAGGTCACTGCCTCTTCCCCCAGCTTTCCCTGCCCCCTGCACCCAGGCCCAGGGGCCTCCAGGACAGGCTCACTCAAGTGAAGGTGGGAAACCTTGGATCCAACCACAGCAGGGACTAAGAGGACACTGGTCATGCTCAGCCTGGCCCCACCCTCTGGCTGAGCACTGAGCCTCAAAGTTCACCCAAACCACCCGCGGACCCACCTGAGGCTGAGCCTAAGATGGCCAGGTAATTGTCAGAGCCTCCCTGTGGTCCTACTGTGTGCAGCTCACTGGGCAGAGTGCAGACTGTGAAACGATGCTCAAGGTGGAAACCCAGCAGACCCGACGTTAGCAACRGATACTGTTCTCTCATTGAATCCTCTCAGCCACTCCACAGGGTACAAATTCCATTTTACAGACAGGGAAACAAAGGATTAGAGGATTAATCTGCCCAAGTGGGAGAAACACTCCCTTTGGCTCAGCCTAGCTCCAAATCCCTTGCTCTCAGCCCTCTGCCAGGCACAGTCTCYACCACAAAGAACCCTCACATCCGGGACCCTGGGATCGCCTGACCCAGAGTTAGGTGCACACAGGCAGAGACTACAGGCACCCTGAGCCAATTCCCAGGGTCTGTCCCCCACCTCTTCCCATCCCAAGCCTCCTGTTCCAAACACCTCCCATGACGGATCCGCTCACCCTACAGAGCTCCAGGAACGTCCACTCAGGCCACAATGAGAAAGAGAAGCCAACGGCCACAGCCCCAGTTTGGACGGATACAGTTTACCTTCTCATTCCCTTCTGACCCATCACCTCAAATTCCAGGAGGCCCCCAAGGCAGCCAGAGAAGTAAAGCACAAAATTTAGAATTTTCTTTTTTTTTTTTT